CAAAAAACACATCACCTCAGGCACACAATAACAAAAATATAAAACAAAAAAAAAAGAAACCACAATATATAACCGAACCATTTGTAAAAAGATTTTAAGAATAAAACAATTAAGTAACACATGTGATGTAAACTCTAATACATGTTCCTTTTATTTTTTTACTAAAATAATTTCACCTCTAAAATTATTAAATGTGGGTAAATTAAATTGCGTGGATTAAAATCAAATCTTGATGGAGAATATATAATTTTAATAGATTCTCAAATTTTCATTTGAAATGATGGATCAAAAATGGTACATAATTAGTTGATCAAATAAAATTTAAAGTTAGACATTATTAGATAGAGATATTAAACCTTCTAATATCATAATTTCCAAAAAAAAGAAACAAGGCCAAGCAAGTGTTGCACACATTGACTGATCTTCAGCAGTTATTAATCGGAGGAATATATCTAATAATGTCTAACATATCAGAAATATATTACACTTTAATAAAATTATTATGAATTTAGAATTTTATTTAATTCATTTAATGATGGTGCAAAATAATAACCACCAGTTATAGGTTTAGTATATTGTAATAACAAATCAGATTTACCATCTAATTGACCAAACATAGAAAGTAATTGTTTTTCAATGTTTACAAGAGAACATGCATAAGCTAAAAAATATAAACCATGTTCCTTTTTTGATAACATTCCATAGGGTAAAGATTGACGTATAATTTTTAAAGAAACACCATTATCTTTTAGATCTGTTCTAGATACATGACTAGAAACTTGTCTTTTACCTTTTGGAATTTCAATAGATTCTTTTTTTGTACGACCAATGGTATCTTGTTGTTCATGTAATGAGATTTTCTCCCATTTTACTAGATTATGCTCCCACTTTTGAGGAAATACATAACTACCATATTCGTGTGGGTCACCTTTTGCTATTAGACCAAATCTAACTCTTTTATCTAAACCAGTGGGATTTTCAGTTCCATCTATAAAGCCAGTTTCATCACGTTCTTCTAAACGTCTAAAACCATGTTGTTCATCTTGAATCTCTAAAATTCCACAATCTCTAAAAGTAAAATAGAAATTTTCAGCAGCATGAAATGCTACATCAAATCTATTACCCAAAATGTGAATAAATATATCACTTTGAGTGCTTGGTGCTGAGCCAATAGGTATCATATTTTTAAAACCTTTTGGCATTTCATATCCACCTGGATAACTACTTGTTAGTTTTCCTAATAAATCATAACCAAATGATACAACACTACCTATACCTGTATCTGGATATTCTTTTTCTATTCTATTCATTTCTTGTATAAATTTTGATAATCCATTCTTTAGTGTTGTTTTATCATTCTCATTTTTTAAATTTACTTTTGATGTTAGATAAATTCCAAATTTACAATGTTCTGGTAATATTGCACTTTGTGAATCAATATTATTTGACATTTTATTAAAATAGAATAATCTTGATACTCTATTAAATTTTATCATAAAGTGTTTATGTTCAAACACCACTTTAAAATTTTTTTTAATTCAAGTGTGTTTTAACACATTTTACATTTATTTCAAAGTATGAATCATATAATATAAGAGATTCTAATCAAACCACAAAATATATATTTAAAAACATTTTCTTTCAACAATAGAAGGACCAGATTCTAAATATTCAGATTTTCTAATCCAAAAACTACCAAGGTTTGAAACTAAAGAAGCACCACCTTTCCAAGCACTTGTTGAAGGATTTGGTGGTATTATAATATTTGGTTTACCAGAAAGTGAGGTAAAAAGTTTAGTAATCTCTAATGATAATCTATCAGAAAAACCTTTAAATTTTGTTGAACCACCTGATAATACAAAATTACAATTTTGATTTATATGTGATTGATACTCATCAGGACATGATAAATAGGAACCATATAGTAATTGATGAATTCCCTTTTCACTGCACCCTAAAATTTCAGGATTAAATAATGATTCTGGACATTTCAAAGCATTACTATTTAATGTTAATTCTCTACCATCTGGTAATTTATAGTTTAAATTCTGTTCTTGTGAAGAAGATAATGATAAAGTTTCTTTTAATTGTCTAATGGAATCTATATCTATAGAACCATAATGTTGTGGTGATAACAAATCAGATAAATATTTATCTAAATGTTTACCAGCAATAGATAACTTTTTAATGGCGTTTGGTAATGCATATGCTTCGTAAACTGGTAATGCATAACTAGATGAATGACCACATTCCAATACCATACCACTAATTATGCCCATTGAATACATTGTCAATAATGAACTTTGAGACATGTAAGCAGCAGATGCATTAAATTCCTCAAATAGATATTCAATGGTTTTTAATCTATTCATTTTTGGATTTATAGGTTGTTCTGATATTATAACTGGATATTCTTCACTATTAACACCCAATTTATTATATATCATTCTCCATAAACTAATTCTATGTTCCCAATCCTCCAATATTTCATTATTATTATTTGATGGTGCTTGTTTACCTAATATATCTGAATTAAATTGTATAGATGGTTCATTTTCATTTGAAAAACCAGCTTTTAAATTATAACTATTATCAATTACTATCGCTTTAAATTGATCACTCATTTTATTTTTGATATATCATTTTATCGTTTTTTAGATGATATTTATGTTCTTTACTCAAAAAAAAATAAAATTTTAGTTTTAGAAAGTAATAAGAATTAATTATTATGTTCTTTGAATTTAATAATAATATTATTTACAAGTTTTAGAATAAAAATTTTTTTGATTGAAATGATTTATAAGCACCAACTTCATCATATTCCCTTTTTGAGATCACAACATCTCTAAAAGTGGCAATGGAAGCTCTAATAGAGGAACCAATAAAAGATGAATATTTTCTCTCTGGTGATGAAATGATTCTAATTTTATAATAGGAAGAAGCCAGAGCTGTTAACTCTTTTTCCATTCTTGATTTTAAACCATCAAACATTGTATTACCACCACACAATATAATATTATTAAATAATCTATATCTAGTTTCAATTGGACAATTCATTATGGAATTAAAACATAGTTGATGAATACCATCCATTTCCTTTTGTAAATGTGATGGTTGAAATAGTGATTCTGTACATCTAAATCTTTCATTACCAACAGTAATAAAATTACCATCTAGCAATTCATATGATTTCTCAACTGCTGTATTATTAACTGTTGATACCTCGAGTTCAAAATCCAAAGCACTATAACATAATTTCTCTTTTATGTTATATCTTGTATATTCATAATTATTTAAATCATCACTCTGGTAACCTTTTTGGTTTAGTAATTCTACTAAATATTTACTTAAATCTCTACCACCTAAATTCATTTTCTTAATACTATTGGTTTGAACTTGATCTGCAATTATAGGTACACTAAGTGTGCATTGATCACCAGAATCCAATACAACACCTTCATTTCTACCACTAGAATACAAAGCCATCAGTGATTGATCAGCTACATATAAAGAAGGTATTTTAAAAGTCTCAAACATTATCTCTGTTATCTTATCCTTAGTCTGTTTAGTTGACAATGACGAATGAGTTATAATCAGTGGATGTTCACTAGATTCAACTCTTAATTCATTTACAAATATATGTTTCCAAAGTTTTTCCATTTTATCCCAATCTGTAATTTCACCATACTCTATTGGGTAATATAAATCTAAAAACCTTTTCTTTGATAAAACTTCATCACCTATATAGGAATCTTTTAAACCTATACTGTTTACTATCTTTTGATGACCACTATTGTTGTAATTGTTTTTTTTCATACCAACAATTGTTGGAAAAATTGATCTTGGTGCATCATCACCTGCAAATCCTGCCTTTGTATAATAACTACCATTATCAATTACTATTGTTTCTGGTGTGTCATCCATTTTTATCTTTTTAAAAAAATTTTAATGTCTGAATATTATTCAATTTTATTTTGTTTAATCCATTATTTTATTGTGTTAGTTTCAATTATTTGTTTTTGATCTAGTGGCTTGCAGTTTAATGTTATGATTAAGATTGGAATTAATGGGCTTGTAGATTTGTGTTACACCTCAGGTTTATAATAGAAAGTAAATGGAAATTTAGATAAGTATGGTTTAATCCTGAAATGATGAAACTTAAAAAAACCATAATGGATAACAAGAATTTATATGTTGTGAAAAGTTCAACAGATACAAGAGGAAGGGGTATATTTATAGGTAATGAAATGGACCCAAATGGAATGATGCTGTAGATAAAGCTGTTAATGGGCCTTTTGTCATTCAACAATTTGTAAAATCTATAAATTCTTTAAATTTAAAACCAATTCTATTGTGTGACTACATAGGAAACTTGTGGGACACCTGCAGAATGCACATTATTAATTAAATTTGGAGAACAACGACTAAAGTAACCAGCTGACCTTCAACTATCAAGAATCCCAATGTTGCATTCATAGGCATCAGTGATTTAGTATAGGGATCAAGTACCATTGTTTTTATAACTAAGATGAATATGTTATATAATAGTCTTTATATTTATCCAATACGTTTACATTTTTTTATTTTTGTGTGAAAAAATGTCACTAGCATTACAACTATAATGATTAAATTTTTATTTATTGGGAGATTGGGAGGTGTTATCTATTAAAATAGTTGATCGTGTAGCCGTAACGATAGTATCTATCATTACTCTCACACATCTCAGACCATCTCATCTCATATCACATCATAATCACATCATACATCTATTATTCCGAGCTCAACTCTGTTATTCGTATTCATAAAATAAAGACTATCATATTACATATTCATCGTAAAAAAATTTTTTTTTTAAACTATTAATGTAATTGGTAGAGGATTGTAAACTGTTTGCCAGTTTCTATTGAATTCAAATTTAAGTTTAACATCGTCATTGGAGTTGTTGATCCTTGATTGGTAGTCTAGGTATTTTAGCAGGGAAAAAAAAAAAATTAAAATTGTATCGTCGATGGGGCTCGAACCCATCACCCCTGGTTTCGAAGACCAGTGCTCTTCCAGATGAGCTACGACATTGAAAACAATTAGATTTTTTTTTTAAACTATAGTTTTGAAGATTAAAAAAAATTTTTTATTTAAGAATGCTCCTTACCAATTTACATAGTCCTAAAAGTTTAAAGTAAAAAGTTGTTGAAAATCATGGGAGACCGTACTGAATTTCATAAGTGTAAGATAAGACGTAGTTCATTTTTAGAATACACTTTAAAAGTATATAAAAGTAAAAATGACAGGGGGGTCTTACTTCAAGGGGGAGAATGTAAGAATGCTCCTTACCAAGTTACACAAGAGTACAGTATCATTTAATTTTACTAAAAAAAGTTTTATAAATTTGATAAAATTTCTTGATTTTTTAATTATTTTTTTTTTTTTTTTGTTCACTTCACCAATGGAATTAATCAAAGTTATTTTTTTAATTTTATTAAGTTTAATATCAGTTACTCTAGCCAGTGGTAATTATTAATTAATAAATAATTATGCCTACATTTTTAGATTCTAATACCAATTTGAACTACAAACAACAGGCAGTGAAAGTGTTCACAGTTCTGGTATTTTAGGAGGAATATTAGCAGCATTATGTTTTGGAATTATTGGTAATTTAACCAAGAAATTAGCTCCAAAATTCATTTTCTCATTATTACCATATCATTCAGTATCTTGTTAATATATAACCTAATCATATGATTATTAAGGAATAATTATACAATTTGTATATAAATAATAAAAACATAATAGTAATGATATATAGGAGATAACCTTGTTTTTTTTTATAAATTATTAACTTTATCAATAATCAATTGTTTAACATCAGAACTTTGTAAAATTTTATAAGCCTCCAATAACTGTGAAATCTCTTTGATTTTCAAATTTAAATGATTATTGTTATTTGATATTAAATGTGGGAGTGATGATTGACTAAATGTGGAACTACTAGTTTTAAAACTTGCACTATTATTAATATTACCTAGACTATCAACGTTTAATTCTGTTTCAAAATCATTTGAATCATATAAATCATTAAATGATTGCTGTGTTTGAATTGGTACTGTTTGTGAATTTCTATTATACTGTTGTGATTGAGGCGATTGAAAATTTAAATTTTGTTGTTGTTGTTGTTGTTGTTGTTGTTGTTGTTGTTGTTGTTGTTGTTGTTGTTTTATACCTTTAGGTAACGTTTGATTTGAAGTATTCAAAGAACCATTTCTTTGTTTATTATCACTATTTATACTATTATTACTATTACTAATTAAAATTGGTTTTTGTATATCTTCAATTTCATTAATAGATTCAATTTCTAATTCTGTTGATTCAATTGTGGCGTCTTGTTGTTGAGGAATCTGTTTTTTTGGTTGTTCAATTTCTTCAAGAGTTTTTATATTATTATTATTATTACTGGCATTTAAAGGTGATTTTTGACGATTATTAATATCAAAATTAATATTTAATAAGATATCATCAAGTTTTGGTGGTTGACTTTCTTTGATTTCTTTAGATGAATGTGATTCTGGTAAATCTTTAAAAAATTCACCTTTGATGGCTAATTGAAATGGTATTGTTTTTGTTTGACCAGAACGACCTCTAATTTTAATGCTCTTTGTATCTTTAATGAAATCCAATGCTTGAAACACTAAATCTGAAATGATTACCCAATCAGGTCTTGGATATTTAAAATCTAATGTTTTTGAATCATATCCCCAATCATTAAGAATATGATATGTAGTTCTAAGATCTTCTGGTGTTGGAAACTGTAGATTTGACATTTTCACAAAAAATGAAGAATGAAAAAAAATTAAAAAAAAAAAATGATAAATCTAGCTATATTGAAAATTCCTTTAATATTAATTTTATTATAAACATTTATATCTAAAACCCTTTCCATATTTAAAAAAAAACTCAATAAAATTTAAATGTTTATTTTTTTAAATAAATAAATATAAAAATTGGAATTAATTTTAAACTTTAAAAAATAGGTTTGAGATATTTTTTTGATCATCAAATTTTTTAATTTTTTTTTTTATTGGATTTAAAAATAATGAATATAAATAGTATTTTAAGTAATTTAGAACATTGTGGCCATTACGATAAAGATAATGGCCCCATATACAAATTTTGTAATAAATGTGGTATAGTTTGTGAAGATTGTAATAATAAATATCACGTCCACAACAAAAACAAAATGTTTTTGAAACATCCTGTTGAGAAATTAGAAGACCACCTTAAAAGTATTTTTATATGTTCCTTTTTAGAATTTGAAAAGAATAATAAACTATTACCAAATCAGCTTACAGAGATGGAAGAAAACAGTAAATTACTATCAGTCAGTTGGGAAGAAAAAAAAATCAGTACTGATAATAAATGGTTTAATACAGGTTTAAATGAGGATGATGTATTTCTAATGGTTAGTTTTATTGGTCCTACTGGTACTGGTAAATCAACTCTAATTTCACCGTTATCTTATATGACTGGTGAATATCCAATTCCTGGCAACCAAGGCAGTACTGTATCTACATCATCTGATATCAGCTCCTATACTGGTACACTACAAATTGAAGGTAAAAATATAAATTATCTAATTACAGATTCTGAAGGAATTGGTGGTTCAGTAATACCACTTAAACATCCAATTACAAATCAAAAATTAGAAAAAGTATTTATAATCTAGATTTACACAAAAAATCAAAAAAACAAAATTTTAGTACTAATACCAAAATTATATATTATAATTTTAGAATGAATTGGAAGAATTTGGAAGAAATAGAGAGATTTTTGTAAAAATATCTTATCCAAGGTTGCTTTATATGTTCTCTGATGTGGTAGTTTATACATTTGTAGGTGTAAATCAAAAAGGTACAATTACTGAACAATTAAAAGAGATTAGTAAGATTTCTGCTTCTAGTACCAATAAGACAACAAAACCACATTTAATAATTGTCTTTAATTTGGTTGCAAAAGCTGGTTTAAAAGAGGTATCGGAATCAACTAAAGATTTTATGGATGATTCATTTGGTAATAAACCATCAGAATTAAATGATTTCTATAAATCCATTACTGTGGTATATATTCCAAATGCTAAGGATAATGATATTACTAAAAAACAGTTTAGTGATGTATTGATAACGTCACTGTACCCAATAATTAATGAAAAGCTATCTGAATCATATAGTGATAAAATGAATCTAAAAACTAGAATTCCAATTACCAGAGAAAGAGTAATGTCAATGATGTATTTGGCTATAGGAAAGTTTAATGATAACCCCAATGTTCTATTAGACATGCATAAACTTCAAGCTGAAATGGAAGAGAATGATAAACAAATTGAAACTATTGTTGGTTACCTTACTGGTTACTTTAAAGCCTATCACAATCACTATAGTTCATCTGTAACTCCAAAGTTTACATTGGCACAAGTCTATGAAAAATCATTGGATAAATTAAAATCAAGAATTCTTGAAGTCTTTTTAAGACATCACAAGAGAACCAATACTCAAATTTCTAAACACACTAAAGAACTCTTTAGTGACCACCTTAAACAGGTATCTGAAGAGATTGATAAATATATCCCATGTTCATGTAAGCATCAACCAACAACAGATAAAACCATTGGTTGTGTAAACTTCAAAGATAGCCATCAAAAACATCAATCTAGTGAAACCTATCCTCTAAAGAAAAAACTTAATGGTTTCTTAGGTCTCTTTGGTATAACAGAAACTATTGAACAAAACTATGATTGGTTTGGTGATTATATGCCAGAGTTTGAAAGTTCGAATCTAGTTGAATACTTTAACAGTATTACCAAAGATGTAAAAGAGATATCTTTTAAAGAACCTGAAAATATTGAATATAAAGGTATAAAAACTGATAAAATTTGCTTTGGATGTCTACTTGGTGTTCCAGAGAGTACATGTACTCCATGTGGTCATCAACTATGTAACCATTGTATAAAAGAAGGTCTAAACAAATGTAAAATCTGCCAATGTATTCAAAATTTGGCTGATGGTACTCTCATTGATTTTACTCCAACTTTAGGTTATAGAGTCCTGTCTCTAGATGGTGGAGGTATTCGTGGTATCATTGAATGTTACATTCTTAAAGAGTTATCAAAACAACTCTTTGGGTTACCTGTAAATAAGTTCTTTGATCTTATTGTTGGTACTAGTACTGGTGGTCTGGTAGCTTTAGCCCTAACAACAACCAATATAACAGTTGATGAGTTAACAGAAAAATTCTGTACCAAAGGTAAAGATATCTTTAAAAAAACTTCCTTTTTTAGTAGATTCTCTGGTGTATTATTTCAAAATTTTAAATATACCCAATTTCAAAGAACACCAAAAAAGGAGGTTTTTACAGAAATTTTGGGTAGTGGTAAACCTCTACATTTGAGTCCTAAAGTGGCAGTAACTTCAGTATGTAATTCAGATGGATCCAATAAAGCATGCTTATTTGCATCCTATCGTGGAAAAGATCCTAACATCAATACTATTCATGATTCAACTACTGTTGATGCTGCAGAAGGCACTAGTGCTGCTCCAACTTATTTCCCACCATTTATCTTTCAAGGTAAAGAATATCTTGATGGTGGTATTCATAATAATAATCCATGTAAAGTTGCATATAATCAAGCTTTAACTCTTTGGCCCAACCAAAAGTTAGATATCATTGCATCTCTAGGTACTGGTCATTATACAAATAACAAGCATAAACGTTCTGAAAATCTAAAGAACTTTGCATCTATGGTAATTAATATTCTAACTGAATGTGAAAGTACATGGACAGATTTGTCACCAAGTCTAAATACACAAAATTCCATTCGTCTCACTCCTTTATTGGATGAAGACATTGATTTGGCAGCTGTAGACGATGCATCTGTTACCAAACTAGTAACAGCCTCAGAGAAATATATTAAAAGTGAACAAGCTCAAAATGGTATCAAATTCCTAGGTAATCGTCTAATTTCAACTCTCTTCTATGTTGATAAACTAAAGGAACTAAACAACAAACTACATGGTAAAATATATTGT